AGGCACAGAGGAACTGTGAGAGGGGAGCAGAGTGCTGGTTCCTAGGGCTGCAGGCTGGCCACAGCACCACAACCACTCTGAATAACGTAATCTGACCCACTGAAGTGCAGAGCAAAGCCCAGCTTGCTTATTCCAGTGCTCTTTTACTAATTGATGCAGTATTAACATGAGGGTAGAACTCCTTCCTGTACATTATAAAAAAAAAACCAACAAACCAACCCTCTCATACCCCCACATGCCTCTCTCTGGTTTAATTTCTTTCTATAAAACCCTCTGCTGTAAAATGAGTGTGGCAGATGTCTACTCTTCTGCAAAAAGATTATGTTTTGAAGCCGCACAGTAGCCTCGCTTTTCACGGCATGGCATTAATGATGTGGACTAAGCTTTGGGAATTGTATTTAAAAAAGTACTCCAAATGGAAGTGGGTTATTCAATGCCTAGAGCACACCTGTATTTTTAATAGCTAACACATGTGTGTACAGGCATACAGAGATTTCTTTTCAATTCTTATTTTTCCTAGGTGTGAGTATATGTAGGCTGATAATTTCTTTTTTTTCTCTCCAGTTTGAAATAACCAGAACAAGATTTTTGATACATGCAAGCAGTATCCAGTGGTGTGGTTCCTTGGTTGCTTGCTGCAGGGATCTCCCTGCAGTAGGAAGTGCATGTCTTTCACTCAGAGTGAAACTGTGGGCCAAGCAGCCAGGGCTGACTGGTACAGTCTTTTGTCAGAGACAAGGTGTTAAGAGCAGCAACGTAGTGCCACCAACATCATCTTCACAAATCCTGCACGTTTGTAGAATTTGGCCGGGATGTTTTCCAGGAAGCTAGGGACCAGGTTAGGAAAGCTAAGGCCCAGTTAGAATTAAAATGGGCTAGGGATGTGAAAGATGACAGGAAGGGATTCTGTAGGTACATTGAGAATAAAAGACAGGCTGGAAACAAAGTGGGCCCTCTCTGGAAGCTATCAGAACTGGCTACCCTGGATTTGGAGAAGGCTGAGGTTCTTAATGACATCTTTGCCTCAGTCTTCACTGGCAAATGCTCCGACCACACCAACCAAGTCTTGGAAGACAGGTGCAGGGACTGTGAGAATGAAGACCCTAGGCCCACTGTAGGAGAGGATCTAGTCTGAGACCATCTTAAGAACCTGAATGTGCATAAGACCATGGGACCTGATGAAATCCATCCATGGGTCCTGAAGGAGCTGGCAAATGAAGATTCTAAGCCGCCGTCCATCATATTTGTAAAAACGTTCAGTCAGGTGAAGTTCCCGACGACTGGAAAAGGGGAAAAATAACCCCATTTTCAAGAAGGGGAAAATGGATAACCCGGGGAATTACAGACCAGTCAGTCTCACCTCTGTGCCTGGCAAAATCTTGCAGCAGATTCTCCTGGAAGGCATGCTAAGGCACATGAAAAACAACAAGGTGCTTGGTGACAGCCAGCATGGCTTCACTAAGGGGAAATCCTGCCTGACCAATTTGGTGGCCTTCTATGATGGGGCTACGGAACTGATGGCCAGGGGTAGAGCAGTTGATGTCATCTACCTGGACTTGTGCAAAGCGTTCAACACTGTCCCACACGACATCCTTGTCTCTAAATTGGAGAGACATCAATTTGATGGATGAACCACTCGGTGGATAAAGAACTGGCTGGATGGCCGCATGCAAAGAGTTGTGGTCAATGGCTCAATGTCCAGTTGAAGACCAGTAACGAGTGGTGTCCCTCAGGGATTGGTATTGGGACCAGTCGCTGACATGAACAGTGGGATTGAGTGTGCCCTCAGCAAGTTTGCCAATGGCACCAAGCTGTGGGGTTCAGTTGATATGCTGGAGGGAAGGAATGCCATCCAGAGGGACCTTGACAAGCTTGTGTGGTGGGCAGATGCCAATCTCATGAAGTTTAACCATGACAAATGCAAGATCCTACACCTGGGTCAGAGCAATCCCAGGCACAGCTACAGGTTGGGCAGAGAAGAGATTCAGAGCAGCCCTGCTGAGAAGGACTTGGGGGTGCTGGTCAGTGAGAAACTGAACATGAGGTGACAGTGCGCACTCACAGCTCAGAAAGCCAACCGTGTCCTGGGCTGCATCAAAAGGAGCGTCACCAGCAGGTTGAAGGAGGTGATCCTGCCCCTCTACTCTGCTCTTGTGAGACCTCATCTGGAGTATTGTGTGCAGTTCTGGTGTCCTCAGCGTAAAAAAAACCATGGAACTGTTGGAACACGTTTAGAGGAGGGCCACAAGGATGATCAGGGGACTGGAGCACCTCCCATATGAAGACAAGCTGAGAAAGTTGGGGCTGTTCAGCCTGGAGAAGAGAAAGCTGCATGGAGACCTCATAGCAGCCTTCCAGTATCTGAAGGGATCCTATAGGGATGCTGGGGAGGGACTCTTCATTAGGGACTGTAGTGACAGGACAAGGGGTAACAGGTTAATACTTAGAATCATAGAATCATAGAATAGTTAGGGTTGGAAAGGACCTTAAGATCATCCAGTTCCAACCCCCCTGCCATGGGCAGGAGCACCTCACAATAAACCATGTCACCCAAGGCTCTGCCCAGCCTGACCTTGGAACACTGCCAGGGATGGAGCATTCACAGCTTCCTTGGGCAACCCATTCCAGTGCCTCACCACCCTCACGGTAAAGAACTTCTTCCTTATATCCAGTCTAAACTTCCCCTGTTTAAGTTTTAATCCGTTACTCCTTGTCCTGTCACTACAGTCCCTAATGAAGAGTCCCTCCCCCGGGTATACTTAAACAGGGGAAGTTTAGACTGGATATAAGGAGGAAGTTCTTTACTGAGAGGGTGCTGAGGCACTGGAATGGGTTGCCCAAGAAAATTGTGAATGCTCCATCCCTGGCAGTGTTCAAGACCAGGTTGGACGAGGCCTTGGGTGACATGGTTTAGTGTGTGGTGTCCCTGCCCATGGCAGTGTGATTGGAACTTGTTCTTAAGGGCCTTTCCAACCCTAACTATTCTATGATTCTATGATTTTTTCCCTCAAGTATTTCCTCCCCCTCTGGCTATGATTTCAGCCTTAGGTGGTGAAACCCTAATATTTTCAAGCAACTTTTGGAATTAAACACTTTCCAAGCAAATGATAGCAATGGATCAACTACTTGAATTGGAAAAATTTTGCAATCCTTGGACTCAGCTTGCAGGGTTTCTCTAACTTCTACTTCTCTCCATTTGACAAGTATGTTTCCTTATTGTGATTCTGAGGATTCTGTGGTGTGCTTTATTTTGCTCTTAGAGAAGTTGTTGCTTTTTCACACTGTTGAGACAATGAGCTTCAGAGGTGGATGAAGTTGTCTCTTAAGTCAGGTAACATATCCTTTCTGAAGGTGCTTTGGGGTCCCTGAAGCCAGAAGCAGCCCAGGAGAGCTGGATCACCAGGTCTGCTAAAGTGAACTTGAGGGACTTTTTTGACCTTTATCTGGACAAAGAGAAAACAAAGCACGAATCCCAAATTGAAAAAAATATGGTTGAAAAGTGAACTTAAAACTTTGGTTTCCAGTGGTATAAAATGCAAAAAACTTTCTGTTGAATTCTTCTCATAACTGAGAATCCCGTTATGTATACCAGTGTGCTTCAGGAATGGTGTTTTTTTCTGTATTTATCCTAACTAAGAGCCAGAGGAGAGAGATACAGTCAGTTCATAACTGCTTGATACAAATGTGTCCTGTGTAAGAGAAAAATAAATGTAATGAACTCACAGACAATGCAATTTCTCTTTAAATCCATTCATTTGTATGAAATGGAGGAAAGCCAAGTTTTCTTCATGCTGTAGTTTCTTTGTGATTCTGCAGGAATTTACCTAATTTTCATATGGACTAGATGACATGAAAATTAAAACCATGGTTTCTTATGTATTGGTTTTGTTTGTATTTCTGGGGCAATATTTTAATGCCCAGTAAAACATTCTTTTTCTGAATGCTGATTTAGCATTTACAGGTGCTGTGGTGGACCTTGTTGATAGTGCCTCTGTAGATAAATTTCTGACTTTTACTGTTCACGTTTTTTTTTAAACCTGACTTAGGCAGGAGGTGAGACAGCCCTAAAATGTGAATCCTGAGCTGCACAGTTTAATACATTAGTAACAGATTACACCACCTTGTGCCAAAAAAAAAAGGAAAAAAAAAGTATTTATTCTACTTTTGTTTAACATAAACTGAAATTAGTCCAGGAAACCTCTAATGAATAATGTAACTGAATAATAGTATTAGTGAATATTTTAAACCACTTTGCATTTTGTAGAATCCAGTGTTCTGCAAGTATTCAGTATTATGTTGGTGTAAGATTGGGGAATGTAGTCCCATATGTCAATGGAGCTGGCTAAAGCCATACAGCAGTGCTATATTCCACAAGTGGAAGAGACAGTTATTGGCTCCATAGTTTTTGTGTGTTGCATAAACTTTCAGTAATGTTTTCCCTGCAATGAACATTTCTGGAGATACCAAGGAAATATATAAAGTAAATGAAGCTCTAACATTTGAATAAAGATAATTATGACTAACTGATTAACTGTGTGCGGTGTATAACATATGGTGACAGAGTTGTTTGTTTTATCATCATTTTTACATACTGGATTGTTTATCTGCAGAAAACAGGCTGTGTTACTGCTGGTTCTGCTGGTAAGTCCATTTTAACAGCAGAGGCCTAAGGGTGACCTGGTAACTTTTTAGAAAATTTTTATGCAAGTCATCATTTTACCTCTACAAAGCCAAATAGTCTGAAGTGCTTTTATAATACAGTGTTTGGGATAGAAGTTATTAAAGGTGGTCAGCAGCTCCCTTTGGAGAAATTGCTTTCAGTAGGCTCTAAAACCTTTGGTGGGAAAAAGTTAGCATTTGCATGCCCTGTGCTATTGCCTTCATTTGAATGAGATGGTCTTGTTTGTAAGAGAGCTGCTACACTCTGTTCTTGCCAAGCTGAGTTCTAGGTAACCCAGGAAGACTTCCCAGGAAGCTGAGAGTGTGTTTCTTTGTTGCAGGGTATTACCAAAGGGAATCCAAGGCCCTTTGACTAAAAAATGTAAGCTGACCTGCAGTATGCAAGTGCAGGGGGTCAACCATTTGATGTGGGATATATCTTCAGGCCATTCGAGTAGCTTCATAGCTAAGTCTCAAAATGCAACTTCCTGCAGTTGTGACCCATGGACCTTTCAAGTACAGTGGAAGACTTGATAGATCAATCATGCAGTTTCCAGGACTCTCAAGCATCATTTGCTTCTCAGCTGATTTTCTGGTAGTTGAACCAGGACAATCATCCAACATTTTTCTTGTGAAATAGAGTGTGTTTTATTAAAATCATATTTTGTAAAAATTTAATAAAGCAGCTCAAACTTTTTCAAGGCTAGACAATACTTTGAAAACTGCTTCCAAATCCCTGGCCTCAATATATGAATACTAATTGTATCTTATCTACTGTGGGTTATTGAAATCCCAACCAGTAGGAAAGCTAATCTGACATCTCCATTCACATACACCTTCTTTTGAGCCTCTTTACAATTCAGTCAGTGTTATCAATGATTAAATATCCCAGTGCCTACAGTTTTAACCTTTCTTTTTTTTTTTTTTTTTTTAAATCCCTTAACTTTTCTTTTTGGTTGTTACTTTCAGTTAGTGAACAGCTCATTTTTGAGTAAAGACATTGTGAAATTCACTTAAAATGATTGTTTGAAGATTTTATTAAAAAAAAAAAATCTCTATAGACAGGCTCTGTCCTTCATTACAACAATAGAAATCCTCATTGTCTTCAGCAGTATCACTCCAAATTTGCAGGAAGGTTAGAATCAAAACTAAAAGATGAAAAATAAATTTGAATGTGTGAGCCATCAACTGAGAACAGGACAGGTGTTTGTTTTTATTGTGAATAATTTTGCTCACAGCTAACATATAATTACTGAGACCATACTTAGGTAGGTGTGTGCAAACCTTGGCGAGATCAAAGCAGATGGACCCAGGTCACTGAAATTAGAATTAGATCCTATTAGTAAAATAATGGTTAAAACTATATGTATTTTGTTGTATTTTCCAGAGCTTGCATTTCATTAGTTTTGTGCAAGTTATTCCTGAATTGAGTAGTTCTTGTCTAATTTCACTGTTTATGTTCACCTTTAAATACAATTTAAAGTATAAGTGCAAACCAAAATTGCCCAAGCCACTCTCCATTTTATACTCAAATCAGAGATCCAGGCCTAGGACAATATCAAAGTATGTGCTAATATGATTGAAAAAAGTACTACAGTCCTTGGACCCTTGACCAACTGGTGTTTCCTTTGCAATGCAAAATGCAGCCAGGTATATATTTTCTGTTTATGTGAATTTTCTGGACTTTTTGTGCAACCTTGATTAATTTACTTATTTTCAAGCACCCCTATTTTTATAACATGACAGCAAAGAGAGGAATTAAATTGAAGAGAGACGTTTTTGCTGAGACGTTTCAAAGGAACAGATACTTGACTCCTGCATAGGAAAGCAAGGTTTTCTGTTCCTTTGTGATGACTCACTATGTGTCAGATAATGGAATCCTATTAGTGCCGCCACAGGAGTATTAAGAAGGTTTCAGTGTTTTAGTGGAGAGAGGAAAAAATGAGGGCAAAGAGAATTTTGCTTAAAGAAAAATCAACTTTTGAGAAACACTAGATGAGGCCTTTGTTTCCATAAAGTTAACAGAGAAGATGAAGGCTGGCAAGTAGTTGAATTTGGACACCGTCCCCTGTGTGCGTACAGACTGCTTGGAACTTGGAAGAACCTTGCTGTGAGTAATTTGAAATGCGTTAACCCACAGCAGTCCTGCTAATCTATAGGGATTTTGTTTGTTTGTTTGTTTTTTAGTATTTTCATTTCTTAACCAAAAAGCATCAAAGTCTGGGCATCAGCCCAGTGTTTTAAGCTGAAAGAGTTTGCTTTATCTTTTATCAGATACAACGCTGCTCTGTTTCTGCAGGACTTCTCTCTTATATCTGCATGAGACTTGAGTCAGATTTTTACCTGTGTGGAGCCTGCAGTGGGTGCACAGTCAATATATTCAGCTGTGGGTATTTTTCTCTCTGTGTTTATAGAAAAATTTATTGTTTTTCTTCAAGTCATAACTTCTGGAGTCATGCATTAACATGATAGTTAATGAAAGTAGTAAATTTTTCACCTTTGTAGTTTCCAAGTGGACATTAACTTTTAATGAATCAGTCATGCCACAGGACTACTTGTTTTGTAGATCTTGAGTAGTAAGAAAGTTTTGTAGACTTTGTAACTTTTGATCAGCCTAGGTCATGATATTTCAATATCAAGGCAACTGGTTCTGTACAAAACAAACTGGTAACCTAGAGCCTTGGTATAGAGTGTTGTACATCCATGTACCTGTGGCAGTGGGTGAATAGGATCTAAATTGTTGAGAACAAGATCTAGATTTGCATTTCTGTATCTGATACATGTACATACTGATGTATGTACATACTTTTAAACTGCAGTGTACCATATATATTTGCATTTTACATGTCTAAGAAGCACACAGGCTTCAGCAGCCAGGTCTGAACTCAGAATTCCTAATAAGTTGGATAGGAGATGAATGCACAGTGCTCTTTCTTATCTTTTTATTCTGCCCCCCCCCCCCCCCCCCCTTCATTTATTACTGTATGTTTTGCTTTTTGTTTAAATATAATGATCACAGCACTGATTACCGGGCCAGGGCTCAGTGAAATGTTTTTAAGCATCCCAGGACAATAAGGAAAAAAATACATTTCTTTTAAAACTAGTAACAATTTACAACAATTTTGTAAACTGGTGATTTGAAAATGGCTGATCACTGCAAAATATGAAAATTAAGATTGTTCTGCACCCCTCTCCCCCAAAAGGTATAGGAATTTTGCATTTAATTGTGATTTGAGATGTTCAAAAGTGTGCGATTCAGACATTAGCTAGAGACATCACTGGAAGCCGATCTGACATGTTTCGTTACAGCTATTGAACTATTGCAAGCATGCTATTATGCTGTAATGAAAGGGGTCTTCTCCTTCTCTTTTCAACTTGCAGATCTGGGAGAGATACCATATGTCATTAGTTCCTGGCACAGATTCTGGGAAAAGGAGTTCTCCAAAGTGCTGTAATATATGCAAGGCCTTTCCCTTGAAAAAGACAAAGGAAATACATTTTCGTCCAGCTGAACCTTAATCTTTTACTAAAGTATATAATGGTTACAGATCACTTAAAATATAATTTCAATCACAATGCACTTTTCGGAGAATGATCCAGCTTAAGTTCCTGTTGACCGGAGAGGACAGGACTTGGCCCTATGTGATCTGTGTAAGCAAGTAACACAAATGCTATTCATTATCTTACATGTGTAATATTCCCTACTGAGTACCTCTAGTCCAGGGACGTCTAGATGTGGGAAACACCTGTACAGAATCTTAGAAATTAAGCTCTCTGGATCTGCGGCTCTGCTGGAGCTTCATTCATCATTGTTCTATGTGGGGGAAAAGAGCTGTGCTTGTGAAAGTAACAAGTGAATCACAGTGGTGGTGTACTGGGCATCTGAGACTGGGGTCTGCCTTCCTTTAACCTTGCTGGCATTTCTACACTTGCTCCAACTTGCCAGGGTAAAGCCTTCAGTAATGTAAGTAAAGCAAGCGTTAAAGTCTCTGATCTTCTTGAGAAATCATTCAAACACCTGATATTATAAAGTTGATTTAAAATTTATTTAATTGGTGAAGTATGCATGAAATAGATTAAACACCCCGGCAGTCAGTACCTAGAACTTAAAAAAAAAAAAAAAAAAAAGCAGATATCATATTGACGATATGAATTTATTTCTTTTCTGTTCAGTTCTCTGCTACAAAATTAACTTCTGCAGGAAATACGTATAGCAGTAACTTTCTGTTGATAAGGATCTATGATATGTTAATCTGTATTCAAGATTTTGGGTGAAAGTGCCTTTCAAAACTTTTGGCAGCTTCTCTCACCTCCAGATGCCACTGAAACACCTACTTACCTAGCTAGAGAATGAGTAACATCTGCAAATGCATCAGGTAGATTCAGCTGAGCAGGGATGCCTCCCAAAGAAACATCACGTCGTTTCAGCCAGTCGAAACCCAGCCAATCCAGATGGAACTTTGAAAAGTAACATAGAAAACCTTGAAATCTTAACAGATAATGAGATAAAAAGAGATGAGTTTGTGGCCATAGCCAATGAAATTTTATGTTGAGCTTGCTGGAAATGCTATTTTTGTTTCTGATGGGCAGCAGTTTCAGAAATGGGCAAATGCTGAGTTCTTCATGCATGCTCTCTATTAGAAGAAAAAATCACCACTTCTGTAAATTCACAGCCTTTTAGGTTTTTGCTTTTTAGATTTTGGCTGTTTTTTTTTGTTTTTTTTTTGGGGGGGGGGGCGGGGGTGTGGGAGGGAGGAGGTGGGGGTTGGTTTTGTTGTTTTGTTTTGGTTTTGTTTTTTGTCTAGAAGTAAAGCAGGATAGGGAGCAGCAGGGTACTTAGTGCTCTCTATGAATCTGTTTGCAAGCCTTTTAGTATCAATAGTAGAGTTCCTGTTAATGTCAGTGGACTTTGGATCAGGCCCTTGATATAAAACCAGCCCAAAATCTGGAGGAAAGGACCATTTTTTTCTGGTATTGCCTTCTGTGAGTATGGCCAATAGTGTGATTCTTAGGGAAGCCACATGCTGGAAGCCAAGACTTTAAAGAATTCCTGAGATGCAGGTTGCTACTGATCCAGCACATCATTAATACTTGATAGGCCTTTCTTCACATTAATTTGTTTAATCACTGTTGGAGTCAACTTATGTTTTGGCTTCAAGAGCATACTGTAGCACTGCCTTGCACAGCTGAGTCCTGCATATTGATGCATTTTACATAACAGCCTGCTTCACAGAGGTCTGTATGGGTTCCAAAATCATATGAAAAGGTAAGGGCAGTTCACAGGCCACATGCAGAAATGTGGATGGGATTAGTTCAAGATGAATAAACACTGAAATAATGGTGAGTTTCTCACGGTCAGGATCACCAATCACCATCTAAAAAAAAAATTAAGGAATGATTTAAAGTATTTGCAAGGCAAAACCTGAATTCATTATTTGGCCATGGTAGCCCAGGATGGGTACAGGACCACAGTGTTCATTCTCATCTTTCTTTGGGGACTGGCTACTTTGAATGTTAGGGCTTTTTAGTTTTTGATTATTTTTTTTTTTATTTTTTTACTTGCTTTTTAAGAGAGAAGAAAAAGAAGGTAAAATAGGGGCAGGCATTTTATTATTTATAGCTACACTTTTGGTTAACAATGTGTCATTTAGGTGTCAATTTTCAGATACACATTTTCAGAAACATTGGAAAATTCAGCACTGTGGTACTGTATCATGGGGATTTGTTTGACTTGTGTTAGGATAAGAGGGAGTGCCTCTATTTGTATTAGCTGGAGGAGGATTGTGAGCTATTATCTTACTTTGTTATCTGAGCTAGGAGTGTACAAGGAAGTTTCTTCTACTAGTGGTTGAGCCGCTCTTCAGATAAAGCCTTCCACAGGATCCCTGTAGCCCTAATTAATCAGCTGTTAAAACAGTAGTTGATAGACAGGCTTGCTTTAAGTTTGAATTGCCTACGATCAGAGGTAACAGGTGAGTCCCATTTGGCAGCAGGATATAAAAGAAGACGAGTGATCTGTTATCAAAAAGAATATGGCACTCAAAAATTGAAATTTGCAGAAGGAACCAATAAAACAGAGAATATTTTTTACTTTGAGTAATCAAAATACCTTCACTTTGGTGATTGTTTTAGACAGGT